TTGCCGCGCAACGCTTTTTGCTTACGCGCTTTTTTTTGCGGCTGCAACGAAGCTCTAATTAGTCGGCGCCCTTAATCGTGTGTGTAACTGTAATTTTGGGCGGGCGTCATTGTAACTATATCTTTCTTCTTGAACTTCGTCTTTCCCGCTCTCCTTTTTCCTCCTTTCGCTGTGCCTAGTTAGCCCGCGGCCTGCATGCTTGGATCGATGCGTGGAGATTGGCTACGTCCCCTGCGCCGCGATCTGGCCATGCAGAACGCAGGCGCTCCCTCTCCTAATCTCCTTTCCTTGCAATTCCGTGTTCTTCGCGCATGCATGCACGCTATAAATTCCGGTTGCGCAATTAGATAGCTCTCTTAACCAGGTATTGGAAGCTCGGGGAGCGCGATCAGTGAGGGTCGGCTCGCGAGCGAAGTAAGAGGTGAGTTGAAGTGGGAGTCGGGCGACCCGACGAGCTGGTGCCGAACGTGCGGGGTTGACGTGGGCCACGACGGACTGAGGGCGCGGGCGAACCTGACGGGTGCAGGAGGACTAAGCGGGGTGACGACTTCATGGGTTGGTGCGTGACGACGGACTGTCCGCATCGGAGAGAGAGAGAGAGAGAGAGAGAGAGAGAGAGAGAGAGAGAGAGAGAGAGAGAGAGAGCTGAGGTTGATAGACGTGGATTTGCAGTTTTCTTTGTCTTCTCTCCCTCCTTGCTTTTGTATATAAATTTTGATTTCGGTTCAGGGCGACTCNTAGTTTTTGGGCGCGTAGGGCCACGTGTCCGAGGCCCAATGCGCCGGTTCCGTTTTTCAAAATTGAATGGAACACCCCCGTTTTCACGTTTAACGCAATTTAACGGGGGTCGGGGGCCCGTTAAACGGATCAACGCGCGTTCAATTTTTTGCGTTCGCCGTTCAAAAGATACACAGATGACGTCCACACTCTTTTCGTACGTAAGTGGCAACGAAAAGCTCTGCGTGTCGATCGATTAGAGAAATCGACACGTGTCATGATTCAAGCAAGCAGGAACTTGCTTAAGATTGGAACCCCCTGGGCGTCACATATGTGACGAACCGATTCCTATTCTCGCGATTTTCTACGTGATAACAATGAGGGGTCCTAAGCTAGGAAGGATGGACCAATTACGGGAGATCGGGATTAGGGGAGAATTGCATCAGTGTCCTCGCTTTTTTGACTTTTCTCTTTCGTCGCTTCTTTTCGGATGGCTGGATTTAGAGCCGGACAAGTCCCGGGATGATTGATCGAGTGGTTGTCACGCCGACCAGGCGCGATTAATAATGGTTGACGCCGGTTCTTTTCTGTGTTGTTGTCGGATCTTAGGCGCGGAGACCGCGCAAAAATTTTTGCTTCGTTCTTTTTGAATTTTCTTTTTGAATCTTGTCGAGCCCCAATGACTCTCGGAATTTCGGACTTTCCTTTCAGAATTTGTGCTTTTCGTTTTTTCTTAATTAGATAGGAATTTACGAATTTAGGATTTTTTTTTGTCGCGCAACGCTTTTTGCTTACGCGTTTTTTTTTGCGGCTGCAACGGAGCTCTGATTGGTCGGCGCCCTTAATCATGTGTGTAACTGTAATTTTGGGCGGGCGTCATTGTAACTGTATCTTTCTTCTTGAACTTCGTCTTTCCCGCTCTACTTTTTCCTCCTTTCGTTGTGCCTAGTTAGCCCGCGGCCTGCATGCTCGGATCGATGCGTGGAGATTGGCTACGTCCCCCGCGCCGCGATCTGGCCATGCAGAACGCAGGCGGTCCCTCTCCTAATCTCCTTTCTAAGTCCTTGCAATTTCATGTTCTTCGCACATGCATGCACGCTATAAATTCCGGTTGCGCAATTAGATAACTCTCTTAACTAGGTATTGGAAGCTCGGGGAGCGCGATCAGTGAGGGTCGGCTCGCGAGCGAAGTAAGAGGTGAATTGAAGTGGGAGTCGAGCGACCCGACGAGCTGGTGCCGAACGTGCGGGGTTGACACGGGCCACGACGGACTGCGGGCGCGGGCGAACCTGACGGGTGCAGGAGGACTAAGCGGGGTGACGACTTCGTGGGTTGGCGTGTGACGACGGACTGTCCACATCGGAGAGAGAGAGAGAGAGAGGAAGAGGGAGCTGAGGTTGATGGACGTGGATTTGGAGTTTTCTTTGTCTTCTCTCCCTCCTTGCTTTTGTATATAAATTTTGATTTCGGCTTAGGGCGACTCGCCTATTTTCTTCTGTCTTCGGAATCCTTGTCTTGGTTTCAACCCGCACTCATTTTGCGATTGATCTTGATCTCGTTTGTTGTGTGTGTGTTTTGTTAAAGGAATGGATGAATGAATGTCATGTCCGTTGCTTTTCTTTTGTCTGGTCCTTGCCTTTACTTGTCCTTTTGATACACTCATGAGCATAATAGAAACTTTTGCGTAGTCGTCATTACCGCTTTCATTGCTGTTTATTCTTTTTGAGCCACCGTTGTTGCTGCGATGCCTGATAGCTCAGGAGCAATTATGTGTGGATCACGGAGTGATTAGATGATTGGGTAGTTGTTTGTCCAGAAACAAGCCAATACCTCGCGGGGATGTGTGTAAGCGCGATCTGATCTGCGCAGCCTACACATATCCATGCGCGTTGATTCACGACCATTAATGAACTTGACACCTTCGATATCGGGTAGGCGGGAATTTTCCTTCCCTCACGCACCTAAACACATAGGAGTTTCCGATATCACATCGAAAAATCCCCTTGCCGATTAGACGTGTGCGAGAGGATTCCATCACACTGCAATGATAAGATGCCGAGCTCTTGGGATTCGGAGTTCTTCGACCCTTGGGTGAGAGAATGAATTAGGCAAAGATACCCGGAATTCCCCTGCCTAACCGAGAATCGATTGTGCCCCTGGGAGTTTCACTGTGCCACAACCAGCGATCCGAGGTGCTCCAATTTTCCCACTTCTGACAACACGCAATACTTCATATCCCCCAGCTTCGTCGTTATCTCTTCCAATTTTCCTCCCTTCCGTCTCCTCCTCCTGTATCACCAACTCACGGTGGTTCCGTGGAATTCCATCGCCCCGTACTGGCCCCGCACGCCTTGGGGAAATTGTCGGTGACGCGGCAACCGACGAGCCCCTGAAACTAGAGGGCCTAACCCACACCCGTAACGGCAGATGCCAAGTGTCTGCACCCGAAGGCCCGACTCATCCGAATCACAGTCATCCCGGGCAGACCTCTCCCCGAACCGCCGCCCCTACAACAGACGGAAAGTAACTCGCCCATAGCCCTATTATATCTATGTCTCTGAAACTTTGCCATAGGAGACCTCAGTTCCGGCTTGGGACTCCACCCCCACTTTCCCAAAAATCCTTGGCACACCCCTTTTCGCGCTTCCAGGCCCACATCCCACTCCGATCAGGAAGTCGCGCTGAGCGTGAGGTTGGTATCGGAGCCCGACACGTGGCAGGGTTCTAGGACTTATAGCTGGGCGATCTGGCTAACACGGGACGACAGCGACCCCGGAACGCGCATCGACGTGATCCCGTCGTTACCAGAAGCTGGTCTGCGGCCCGACGGACGGTCAACATGAACGTTAATCAGCATAACCCCCAACAAAACCCAAATCCCCAGCAGAATCCTAATCAACTCGTACCACGAGCACGGGCTCCTATGACGCCACCCGACCTTTATCTATTCGACCATGCACATCATCTCGCTGAAGCATGGTTAGCCACGCTCCGGGCTCAACAGTATGACGATAACGAGGCACATGTGAACATCCGTGCATGTCTAGGAGGAGATGCCCATCACTAGTTTAACACCTATGTATGGGTTGATCTCCCGACATTCGAGCAAGATTTTTTGAACCGATTTTATTACACTCACCCCGACACAAGCTCTTTTTATGATTAAAGATCGAGCTCAAAAACCCCTCGAATCTGTTAACGAGTATCGAAATCGGTTTTACCGAATGTTTGTGAAAACAGAGCGAAGTGAGCAAGTAGGAAGAGATTTGTTCATCGACGGACTTCGCGGCAGAACAATGAGGGCCAAACTCCGAAAACATTTCTCCCCCATCAATCATGCGCTGCAACAGATCATGGCCGCTGCATAAGAAATGAAGCGAAAGTTTGCAGCGAGTTTCCTAGAAGGGGAAGATTACCCTAGGGAAGGAGACTCGTCCGAGCTGGCAAGAGCTAAAGCTGAGTTGGCTGCACTGCAGAACAAATTCGAAAACATGGGGTTTGTGCCGGGCCCTATCACCTATCTGGAACAGATTAGTCCCAAATGACCAGCCCCTAGTGTGATAGCGTGCCCGTGCCCGTGATAACAGCACCTCCAACCCCGATCGAACCCCCCTCACGACCGAACGTCAATGCTTGAATCGAGAGGATGATGAGATCGATGCGACCCATCGCAGAGCGTGTCGTGCCGATCCAGCACGGATTGGCTCCGGTACCACCGCCAGCAGGGATCCCGAGCAATCTAAATGTATGTTACACATGTCACCAACCGGGGCACATAGCCCGGGATTGCCCCCATCGGCCCCCGCAACAACGAGTCAGAGCCGCACCGGTAGCTGCAGCCCCGATCGCTAACGGGTAGGAGCTTTGATGGAAGAAGTAGAGGGAGGCGGAACCATGTTAGCAACAATGGAGGAGGCTGCAAATCTTATTCCATTAGATTAGTATGTAACACTGGGATATCCGAGGCTTGGGATGATTGGTATGATTAGACCCGCGCCTGAACAACGAGAAGTGGCGGAGTGGCAACCTTCTCTAGGAGAGATGGAGTCGGGAGGACCCACCTTCGCCACGGGGGAAATCGATGTTCTAAACATCGTGCGCGCCTTAGATCACCGAATCCCCCTTCCTATCGGTCATTTGCTTTCGATATCAGAATAGGCCAACGAACGTATGCTGCAGCACTGCAAAGCAAATCGCAAACGGTTTGCTCTTACCCGAGCAGCAAACACAAAAACAAAAGGACCGACACCGGACGAAAATACTTCCGATCCTATACGCATAGGACTAATCCAAAAAGATGACCACTTCCTACGGATTAAACACATCCCATGGAAATCCGCGGAATGCGACATCGAGGTATGGGGAATTCCATATAATGCTATCATCGATTCGGGAGCCGCTGTGTTAGCTATCTCCTTACGGGTGGTTGAAAAAGCAAGAAGAAAGAATGATCTAATCATGCTTACGCGCCTTAGATCACCGAATCCCCTTTCCTATCGGTAATTTGCTTTCGATATCAGAACAGACCAACGAACGTATGCTGCAGCACTGCATATGAGGACAAAAAGCATTACTGCGGTATCACGAATCTCCCGAGATCCCTTTTGACACCTGCAAAAGAGATTCGACTGTTACACTTAGGGGCAAAGACGAACTCTTTGGAACCCCCTGAGCGCCTCGAAAACGGACTCGGGATCAAGATCGCAACGAAACATGTGTCGTGGCAAGACATTCGAGACGGAGTAACACCGGAGGAACAGGTGGTCATTCGAGAACAAGATGCACAGATGATGGCCACGGTCTTTTCCTGGCGATCGGATAACTCATTCATCGTCACCCCCCCGCCAGAGAACACCAAGTGGGTGAATACAAAACACATCGATGTAAGGATATGGGATGAGTTGTATGAGTTGCACGTACCCCAATACAAACCTGAGGAGATCCACCACCTAATCGCAGACATTCTGAAGGAATACAAAGGAGTGATTAGTGTGACAGACACAGACATTGGAATGTCGTTAGCCATACAGCACGAGATCCAAACAGGTAATCATTCTCCAATTCACTGTAAACCTTACAGATACTCCCTGGTAGAACAGAAAAAAGGCTCTCGAGCGGATTCGAGAATTTGAAGCAAGCGGTTAGATCGAACCCGCCACCGGACCATGGTCATTTCCGGTAGTGCTAGTACTGAAAAAGAACGGATCGATTCGCATATGCATTGATTATCGCAAACTGAATGACATCACGATCAAAGATGTGTATCCCCTCCCCCGGATTGATGATTTGCTGGATGTGATTGGGTGTGCTAATTACTTCAGTAAGTTTGATATTCGGCACGGCTTCCATCACATTCTGGTCAAGGAGGAAGATCGGTCGAAGACGGCCATCGTACTGTTTGAAGGCACGTGGCAATGGGTTCGGTGCCCGATGAGGATTTGCAACTCACCCGCCACGTTTCAGCGGGCCATGAATATCACGTTTCAGAACTTCGTCAATTAGACGCGGTTAACACAGGGAATGATCAACTTTTGCGTCATAGGATACATGGACGATATCGTGGTTTATTCGGAGACCTACCACGAGCATGCACAACATATCGAGTGGACGTTGGGTGCTCTGAAAGACGCCGGATTCAAAATCACACTCGAAAAGAGTGAATTTTTCCTTTCAGAAATCTCGTTCTTGGGCTACGTCGTGACACGTGGAGGACTACGGCCTGACTCAAGAAAGGTCGCGGTGGTGAAGGAAGCTCCTGTCCCCACATCACTGACGCAGGTTTGAGCCTTCTTGGGGTTAGCCTTGTACTATCGTCGTTTTATCAAAGGCTTCGCCGCGATTGCACGACCCTTAACGAGCTTGTTACGAAAGGACCAACCCCTTAGTTGGGACGCAGTGTGCGAACGGGCCTTCGCGACCCTCGAGGACGCTCTGGCAACGACACCTATTTTGATCCGGCCGGACCCCGCGAAGCAGTTCATTCTCATCACGGACTGGCAGCCGAAGGCTATTTCCGCTATCTTAGCACAGAAGGGGAACGATGGTCGCGAACATGTCATCGAGTATGCGTCACGAATGGTGTCAGATGAGCGGAGAAATGACTCATCCCCACAGGGCGAATGCTACGAAGTAGTGTGCGGAATCCAACACTTCCATCTGTATCTGTACAAACATAAATTTCTCCTTGTCACCGGTCACGTCGAGCCCTTGCTAGCGCTGAAGCGACTCACTAATTACACGGGCATGATTGGACGTTGGGCGGTGCGCCTACAGGAATACGACTTCGACATCATCCATCGAAAGACGGAGAGGCACGGTAATGCGGACGGACTGACACGTCTGCATTGACCAGTTAAAGTGTCGAAGACGGAAGAGATCGTCTTGTGGAAGGAACCGGAATCGGCGAACGGACCCAAGTACGGACAAGTGGCAATCCTTCCACGTGGCAAGAAGCAGGCAGGGGGCCATGGGTGACGGAGGTAACCCTACAACTCCCCTCTCTCCCCACTACTCCTCATCTCTCCTCTCCCTGCCTGACAAATCTTGTTATTTTTGCGAAGCAATTTCTTGCGTATACTCGGTCTCTATGCGCCCTGGCGGGGAAGGATATGCGAAATGGGTAGACTGTCGACAACGTGTCGCACGAGCCCATGGCTCGTGCATCCAATACCGAAATGGCAGTAAGCCTTGGTTGTGCCCCTTGTGTCGGGTTGATAAGATCCCGACCGAGGCTCGCTTTTTAGATGCCATATCAGAAGGGTTAGAGAAGACCCGGAAGTTTATAAGGGCCGAAGTATGGATGGATATCGCCTTGATTGCCACCCTAGTAGGTAACTCCCTCAAGGACTTCACCAAGGAAGATCGGAGGAGGGCCAATGAAAGGGCTCGGGACTACCGTTGGAATGAGGGACGATTGGAAAAAAGGAAAACGGATGGTAGTGGGATTTGGATGGTAATGCCGCACCCGTTCATGAATTATGACTAGGTAAAGACAGCGCATGAGGAAACGGCTGCCCATTTTGCCGTACAAATTAAGGAGGTGGCAATCGACAAAAATGAGTGGTATTGGTCCAATATTCGTGACGGTGTGAAGTTCATCGTCGCGAACTGTCAGGCCTGCTCTGCTGACAAGGCGCCGATTCAGCCGCCAAGATCGATAGTCTCGACGGTAGTTGAACGACCTTTTCAAAGGGCTAGCATGAATACTACCGATATTGTGGTGCCCCCTGGACCTAATAGCTGCGAATATCCAATCCTACTGGTGTTCGTGGACCATTTTTTGAAATGGATTGAGGCGTATACGTGCCGTACGCGACAGGCGGTCGAAATTGCACAGTACGTCAATTGTTTTTTAGGGATGCACCAGGACACGGAGGAAATTCTGACCGATAATGGGGTAGAATTTAGGAGAGAAGTCTTGAGGAATCTGGTCGTACAAGACGTTGTTATCCGGAATACCGCACCCCACATGTCGCAATCTAACGGGCTGGTGGAAAATGCAAATAGAGTGATAAAGACTGCGCTACGACGCAATATCGCGGCGCGGGACCCAAGGCCTTGGCCCGATATCGTAGATCACATCCTGGCGGTCCATCGAGGGACGCCCCACAAATCGACGGGTCTGAGCTCTTTCCAATTGCAGACCAATAGTGTGGTCTGCGTTTCGATACCCAGGCTCCCGGACGAATCGTCGTTGAACCGACGGCCCACAAGGGCCACAGTTCGGGACAAGGCCAAGCGACATATGAAATTGATGGAAAGATCCCTGCCCCAATTAGCCCGAAAGCGCCAGAAAATGACCGAGTTCGCCCACGACCGACAGATCCGTAGTTACGAGGCCCGAAAGGGGAACGCGGGTCTGCGGCCCCAGTACAAATTAGGGGACCTGGTGCAGGTGAGGAAATGTGCTCGCCAGGGAAAGATTGCGCCACGATTCTTCAGGCGATTGCGCGTGATCGAGCTCCGCCTGAACGGGGTGAACACGGTGCGCCTTGTGCCAGAGGTCTCAGGGAGCCGATCGTACGCCACGTGTCCTATCTACTTTCCCTCCCTTCCTCCCCATCTTCTGCATCTTCTTCCTCCTCCTTCGCTATGGAGGAAGACGACGACTCTCCATCGCTTTCTTCCTCCCTTGCATCTCTCGCCTTCTCCTATACTCCGTCTCCGCCACCAGCACCATGAGTTTTCTCATAGAGCGAGCTCTCGGCGATCATCTGCTAGCGCAACGTGGTTACATCTCGACAATCCGATAAGTTCATCATCCGCGCTTCAGTTTGGATCTTCTACGGCTTGTGCAGTTCTTCTGTACCATAGGGGTATTCGCGGCAGCAGAGTTCCGATTCGCGATTAATCGTCAGACAGTTGTGCTGGCAGAAGCGGTAGCTGTCCATCGGCGGTCAGCCCCAGGGACTAGCCGCGTGTCCACCGTCGTCTCCTTTGGCGGCGATATCAGCGAGATCAACCCGCTGCGGCATACGACGATCCGAACGTCACTATAAGAGTGGGGTCAGCAGTTGGCCACGGAGTGGAACTACTGGCTCACGCGCCCCAGGGACAATCTTCTCCCTACGGACGACCTCGAACTTGGTGGGATTCGAGCGTCCCAACACGAGCCAGCGGTGGTGCTTCCGGAGGTCATCCCCTTTCAACGTCCCCAATGAACCGCTCCCAACTCTCCACCTTCGCTCTCCCATCTCTCTTTCCCACCTTCTGGCAGTCTAGTCTTCACCCTCGTTTCTCCTTCTGTCTGGAACCGCTCGCGGTCCCCCTTCTCGATCCAAGGCAGTGGGAGCTGTGGTGTGAACATTTTGTCGATCTTTCGGTGTGCCTGGTCGGAGTACGACTCACGTGGACAAGGGACGAGGAGCACCGCGCTTGGATTGAGTACCTGGAGCTACTGATCATCCAGGCCTGGCGGACGGAGGTGGAAGGCGATCTTATTGGATTCCTGTTCGAATCGGTGCCCGACCATCGCCAACTGATTGTGCAGGAACTCACGGTTTCTCTCGCGCAGTTGGTTGACGATCTTCCCCTTGATATCGTCTCGCAGAGCGACGAGAGCCCGGTCCCGCACGTCCTCACACGAACTCTGACGCCTGGAGGAGCCGGGAAGCGGCCGCAACCTGCCATTGTGCAGGAACTCAGTGGTCAGCATGCCTGGAGAAGCCGGGAGGCGGCCGCAACCCGCCATCGTGCAGAAACTCAGTGGTCAACGTGCCTGGAGGAGTCGGGAAGCGGACGCAACCCGCCATCACAACGCGAATATCTGGACCCGCAGGAGATAGTTGACCTCGCTTTCTTCCAGGATCGAACAGTCTCCGAAGACGAGGAGCTAGCGATAGAAAAAGATGCGGAAAAAGAACAAGAAGGCGCAGAGGAGGAAGAGGAGGAGGAAGAAACACCGGAAAAAGGCAGTTATAGTGAACACAGTGAGGGAGAGCAAAGTGAGGAGGAAAAAGAAGAAGAGGAAGACGAGCAAGAGGAAGAGTTGGAGCTAGAAGAATCCGAGTGGGAAATCTCGGCGGAAGAGGGGGAACGAACGGACACTCAAGCGGAGGACCCCAAGGCAGTGCGTAAAAGAAAAGAGATTGCGGCCGGAAAGCGACAGTTGGAATTCGCAAGCGGAGCAAATCTTCCGACCACCGACGATCCCGCCAAAGATCCGGAGGCGCCCAAGCCCGAAGATGGGGATCCAGCTGCCGAGACTTCAAGCGCACCGGCAAGGCGGCAACGAAGCCGATCCCCCTCCCCCTCCACCTCCGACCGTCCCCTTGATCACTTCACCTTCCGCCAGATCACCACCCGCGTCACATTCCCCCGTAATCCCTTCCCGATTGATACCTTCCGATTTTTCTACGCCACCCGCCTTGTTGTCACTGTTCACCCCCACCCCTCACCCGGTGTGCCCTCCCCGACTTCTATCTTCATGCCCTCCTCTTGAGTGCAGCGGAGCGAGGGCACAATATCGTCGTGGTTTCATGGGGACTATCCCCGCATGCGAGAACCACGATCGATTCCGCGCGGCACTCTTCCGAACCTTTGCCACCCTCTACCCTGACTATCTCGCCTGCCTCCCTCATAGTCGTAATCGATTCCCTCGCTTCCACAGGATCGTCCGATATGAGGAGCTTCCAAAAATAGTCGCGAGATTGGAACGCTTCCTACCTCCACTCCCGACTAACCCACCCCCTCGCCATGCCCCCATGTATCGTCTTTCCTTTCCCTTCCCCTTAGGACATTGATGCATGGTTGATTAGTATGTGTCCCGACGATGGCACGAAAAATCCCCTCCTTGGATTGAAAAGAGCCCTTCCTGAGGAATTTGTAGAATAGAGCCCCGTATGCCACACTGGATGACGTCCTGTGTGTCCTATTTTGGATTCAACGCGGGTTCCGCGTTGAATTATTGAACGCGCGTTGAATTCGCGTTCAACGCCCATTCAAACGCGCGTTGGACGGGGAAAAACGGGGTCCGCAATGATTTTTTTCCTAGGCAAAACATAATCGAAAAAAAAAACAAAAAATATGGGGTCGTAGATCTTTTTGAGGTCTACGACCCGATATTTTTATTTTTATTTTTTGAGCTTTTAATATATTTAAAAAAAAACAAAAAAATGTAAGCATAATGAAAAAAACAAAAACAAGAAATGACATGAGTCTTTGTTTTTTGGGTTTCACAAAGATTTTTTAAGGGCTAAAAAACAAACAGAAAAAAATAAATAAAATATAGGGTTGTAGATCTTTCAAAGATGTACAACAAAATATTTTTTTTTGTTTTTTTTTATAACTTCGTGTATTTTTAAAAATATCAAAACCATAAACAACATTTTTTTTGGCCTGCATTGCTTAGGTAATCTTGCTGGGTAGACTCCCTGCTGGGTACACTCCCGGATTTGGCCTGCTTCGTTCACTGTTGTTGCAACCACCACCATCAGAAGTACTGTGCCGTGATTTCCAGTGGGAGGTCTCTGTTTCTTTTTTTTTTTTTTTTTGCCTTTCTCCTGTTTTCTCAGCCCAGAAACTCGTAATGAACCTGTCAGGCCGCTGCCACTCAGTGTCACACTGGATCGGCCACACTCCAATCCGTCTGCTAATGGGACCATGCCCCTGGGGCGAGGTCCCATTAGCAGTCAGATAGGAGTGTGGCCGATCCAGTGTGACACTGAGTGGCAGCGGCCAGACAGATTCATTACGAGTTTATGGGCTAAGAAACAGAAAAAAGGCCAAAAAAAAAAAAGGAAACAGAGACCTCCCACCGGAAATCACGGCAGAGTGCTTCCCAGCCCTCTGATCACAAATGATCTGATGGTGGTGGTTGCAAAAACAGTGAACGAAGTAACCGCCAAATTTTCTTGGAATAAAATTGACTTCTGTCAGAAGTGATCCTCACATCCTCCATATACCCCGTGATTGAAGGAGGGTTGCACCCAATGAGATAATTGCACAACAACAAGTAAAATGTTGAATATCTTCTATCCAGTGGGCTAAGGCCGACCCCAACCTCGTTTGGGGTTGGCCACACCCCTAACCGATTGAAAAGATTCAGGCGGGAAGCTTTCTTTGCACAGACCGTGGGATCACGAGTACTGCATGGCAAGATTTGGGTCACTCAACTGCCCCACAAACTCGTTTCTAGCCTATCCCGTTGCTAGTGGGACCTGTCATTGCTGTCTGGTCGAAGTTGCCCTCAATGCTGGTAGGGTGATGGTCCTGAGTGCTGGTCATACTGTGGTAGGATATTAGGGACAGGGGGTCTGGTCCTTGGCCTCTACAAAACCCTGAACTTTCAAAAAAAAAAAAAAAAAAAGGATCTTCTGCTAGAACGTGGAATAATGCATCGCCATATGTTTTGTCTTTTGTGCATGTGGTGAGTTGAGGCCCTTAGGGCCACTGCACGTATTCCTAAAAAAAAGACAAACGAGAAAAAACAGAAGAAAAATCAGAAAACAAAAGAAAAACGGAAAAACCAAAGAAAGAAGAGAAAAAAAAAAAAAAAAACGAGAAAACAGAGAATTAGTGACCCATAACTTTGCTGCACAGACTGCCACAGACCTGAATTCGAATCATACTATATATTCTCAGGCCACAAAGGCAATCTCCAAGTCTTTGCTGCACGAAGGGTTCTTGCTAATCCGTAGGGACCTTTCGGAATGAGAGTGTACGACCAGATTGCAGCATTTGTAAAAAAAAAAAAAAAAAGGAGGACCTGCACCCACATGCACACACATGTGCTCACAGTCTTGGGGTATGGGGTGGCCCTTACTTTTTACCCTCTTGCAGTTTGAATTTCGGGAGGGAGGAGAATGTTTGGCCACCCCACCCTGTTAGTAGGGGTCAATTTTTTTTTTTTTTTTTTTTTTKTAGTTTTTGGGCGCGTAGGGCCACGTGTCCGAGGCCCAATGCGCCGGTTCCGTTTTTCAAAATTGAATGGAACACCCCCGTTTTCACGTTTAACGCAATTTAACGGGGGTCGGGGGCCCGTTAAACGGATCAACGCGCGTTCAATTTTTTGCGTTCGCCGTTCAAAAGATACACAGATGACGTCCACACTCTTTTCGTACGTAAGTGGCAACGAAAAGCTCTGCGTGTCGATCGATTAGAGAAATCGACACGTGTCATGATTCAAGCAAGCAGGAACTTGCTTAAGATTGGAACCCCCTGGGCGTCACATATGTGACGAACCGATTCCTATTCTCGCGATTTTCTACGTGATAACAATGAGGGGTCCTAAGCTAGGAAGGATGGACCAATTACGGGAGATCGGGATTAGGGGAGAATTGCATCAGTGTCCTCGCTTTTTTGACTTTTCTCTTTCGTCGCTTCTTTTCGGATGGCTGGATTTAGAGCCGGACAAGTCCCGGGATGATTGATCGAGTGGTTGTCACGCCGACCAGGCGCGATTAATAATGGTTGACGCCGGTTCTTTTCTGTGTTGTTGTCGGATCTTAGGCGCGGAGACCGCGCAAAAATTTTTGCTTCGTTCTTTTTGAATTTTCTTTTTGAATCTTGTCGAGCCCCAATGACTCTCGGAATTTCGGACTTTCCTTTCAGAATTTGTGCTTTTCGTTTTTTCTTAATTAGATAGGAATTTACGAATTTAGGATTTTTTTTTGTCGCGCAACGCTTTTTGCTTACGCGTTTTTTTTTGCGGCTGCAACGGAGCTCTGATTGGTCGGCGCCCTTAATCATGTGTGTAACTGTAATTTTGGGCGGGCGTCATTGTAACTGTATCTTTCTTCTTGAACTTCGTCTTTCCCGCTCTACTTTTTCCTCCTTTCGTTGTGCCTAGTTAGCCCGCGGCCTGCATGCTCGGATCGATGCGTGGAGATTGGCTACGTCCCCCGCGCCGCGATCTGGCCATGCAGAACGCAGGCGGTCCCTCTCCTAATCTCCTTTCTAAGTCCTTGCAATTTCATGTTCTTCGCACATGCATGCACGCTATAAATTCCGGTTGCGCAATTAGATAACTCTCTTAACTAGGTATTGGAAGCTCGGGGAGCGCGATCAGTGAGGGTCGGCTCGCGAGCGAAGTAAGAGGTGAATTGAAGTGGGAGTCGAGCGACCCGACGAGCTGGTGCCGAACGTGCGGGGTTGACACGGGCCACGACGGACTGCGGGCGCGGGCGAACCTGACGGGTGCAGGAGGACTAAGCGGGGTGACGACTTCGTGGGTTGGCGTGTGACGACGGACTGTCCACATCGGAGAGAGAGAGAGAGAGAGGAAGAGGGAGCTGAGGTTGATGGACGTGGATTTGGAGTTTTCTTTGTCTTCTCTCCCTCCTTGCTTTTGTATATAAATTTTGATTTCGGCTTAGGGCGACTCGCCTATTTTCTTCTGTCTTCGGAATCCTTGTCTTGGTTTCAACCCGCACTCATTTTGCGATTGATCTTGATCTCGTTTGTTGTGTGTGTGTTGAAGGAATGGATGAATGAATGTCATGTCCGTTGCTTTTCTTTTGTCTGGTCCTTGCCTTTGCTTGTCCTTTTGATACACTCATGAGCATAATAGAAACTTTTGCGTAGTCGTCATTACCGCTTCCATTGCTGTTTATTATTTTTGAGCCACCGTTGTTGTTGCGATGCCTGATAGCTCAGGAGCGATTGCGTGTGGATCACGGAGTGATTAGATGATTGGGTAGTTGTTTGTCCAGAAACAAGCGAATACCTCGCGGGGATGCGTGTAAGCGCGATCTGATCTGCGCAGCCTACACGTATCCATGCGCACTGATTCACGACCATTAACGAACTTGACACCTTCGATATCGGGTAGGCGGGAATTTCCCTTCCCTCACGCACCTAAACGGATAGGAGTTTACGATATCACATCGGAAAATCCCCTTGCCCCTTGGGTGAGAGAATGTATTAGGCAAAGATACCCGGAATTCCCCTGCCTAACCGAGAATCGATTGTGCCCCTGGGAGTTTCACTGTGCCACAATGAGTGATCCAAGGTGCCCCGATTTTCCCACTTCAGACAACACGCAATACTTCATATCCCCCAGCTTCGTCGTTATCTCTACCAATTTCCCTCCCTTCTGTCTCCTCCTCCCGTATCACCAACTCACGGTGGTTCCGTGGAATTCCATCGCCTCGTACTGGCCCCGCACGCCTTGCGGAAATTGCCGGCGACACGGAAACCGATGATCCCCCGAAACTAGAGGGCCTAACCCACACGCGCGACGACAGACACCACGTGTCTGCACCCGAAGGCCCGACTCATCGGAATCACAACCATCCCGGGCAGACCTCTCCCCGAACCGCCGCCGCCACAAGAGATGGATCGGACGGCCTTGAATGCACCGCGCATGCCATCTGTCTTATGTTGCACGACATGGAACGCCAACAGACCGGAAGTAACTCGCCCTTAGCCCTATTACATCTATGCCCTTGAAACTTTGCCACATGAGATCTCAGTTCCAACCTGGGACTCCACCCCCACTTTCCCAAAAACCCTTGGCACACCCCTTTTCGCGCTTCCAGGCCCACATCCCACTCCGATCAGGAAGTCGCGCTG